GCTATGAGTCGCAGGCGACTCGACGGCACATAACAACAACAACAACCTAAGATATCTTAACTACTAGAATGTTTATTTCAATGAAGACTTCTGAATCATTGGTTTTCCACATGATCATTCAGGCATTTTTATAGCATTAATTAACATTGATTTATTAAAATGTCTAATCAATATACACTGTGCTTAAGTGTGTCACAAAGTATGATGATGTCACAGGAGAGGAGAGGGTTCAGATCTGTTCATAGGATCACTATGAATTATACTGTACTCGATGGCTCCTAACAACAACAACAATTAATTCACAAAGGAGCTTTGGTGGCTTAGTTGTGGGGTTCAAATCCAAAATCTACTCAATATAAGAAAAATGCAAAGTTTCCTCTCATGTGATTTATAGCCTCTGGAAACCTGCTGGTAGTATCAGCTATGAGTCGGTTCTGACTTAATGGTAAATTGTAACAACAATTAATACATAATAAGGGGTTGGCAATTGGAATAGTTTGAATTTTAAATAAATTTCTGCAACAAAGTTTGAGAGAACAGAAATAAATATTGAGTAGAGTTATGTTGTTTTTGTGTACTTGCAAATAATTTAGCAATATTAATTTTTAAAAAAATTTTATTATTTTTTGAGTGTATACCGTCAAATCAGATCCGACCGGTACAGGAGGAGATTGTCCCTCCTTCTCCAGCAGAGTATCTGGTGGATTCAAACTGCGCTCCTGGGATTGCAGTGCAGCTTCTTGCCACTAGGCTACCAGAGCTTGCCTTCAACAATATTAATAACTACTAAATTTAGACAATGGATAGCATGAGAATGCATCTCACTGACAATGAGAATTTTCCTGTTGTACGGTTTTTCTGTACTTATGATACTTCTCATAATAAAAAGTTGCAAGAAAACTAGATAAAATGTTCCATGATATATAACTTTTTAATTCTAGGAAGATTAGAATGCATGTTCATAACATCAATAAAATTACAAGGATTTATAATGTAATTGGAACTATCAGAGGATCTGTAGAACCTGGTGAGTAGTTGTCATTTTGTTTTGAATTCTGTTTTTGCAAAGATTAATTGAGTAAGAGGAATTTTAAAATTCAATCCACAACTGATTTTTTTTCTAGCCAATATTCTACATTATAGTGTTTATTTTCTCAATGGAGGGAAGCTCAAGCAAGAGAAAGCTTATTTTAAAAATGTATGTTACATCTATTTGTAATGTATTAAAAGATGTAGTTCTTTTAAACACATTCTTCTCCAGACAGGTATGTTATTCTGGGAGGTCATCGGGACGCCTGGGTGTTTGGAGGTATTGACCCAACCAGTGGGACTGCTGTCTTACAAGAAATTGTCCAGAGTTTTGGAAAACTGATGACTAGAGGTATGTAACATATTTTAGTAAGTGACAGAATGTTACTTAATTTTCCTCTGTTTTTAGGCAGAAATACTTAATACATGCTAATAATGATTACAGGCTGGAGACCTAGAAGAACTATCATTTTTGCAAGCTGGGATGCAGAAGAATTTGGGCTTTTAGGTTCTACAGAATGGGCAGAGGTAAGAGACACAAAAATCTACTGGTAATAGGAAATCAAATGTATATGTTTTAAAATGATCACAGATAGATTCCAATGAGCCAGCCCACTATTCTTTTGTGTTTTAATGTTGCATTAATGCTACCGATCATCACGTTATCAGCATTTCACAATAAATTGACTGTCATGAGCATTGGTATTTGATTAATTTAGGCACTTCTATACCTCTTGTGCATTTAACTTGGTTGTTTAGTCTGTATTTCATAAATGGAAATATTATGAGTAATGTGGCAACTTTATCTCAACTATAGGAAAATACAAAAATACTCCAGGACAGAAGTGTGGCTTATATCAACTCAGATTCATCTATAGAAGGTAAATTTTATGTCAAATCATTTTTAGACAATGTATTTTAAGCCTATAAATTCCAATGTAATAACTATCTTAGATATCCTCTTTCTATGGTTGCTGTTGTTATGTGCTGTTGAGTTGCCTGTGACTCATAGTGACCCTATATACAATGGCCCTAAACCCTGTGCTATCCTGTGCCAATCTTACTGTCTCTGACACACCTACCCCCAATTACCCCAGTCACTGACTCAATCCATTTCGAGATTCTTCCTCTCTTGCGCTGTACCTCCACCCTCCCAAGCATGCCATCCCTCACCGAGGACTGGTCCCTCCTTGAAACATGTTCAGATGAAACTTCAAAATCGTTGCTTCCAAGGAGTAGCCTGGTGGTATATTTCAGTAATGTCTTTGTTTTTCATTTTGTCGTATAGAAAGACAATAGATTATATGATTCATACAGAAGCTAGTGAACTTAATTTCATTAGTATATTTACCACTTTCTCATCTTAGATTGTTACTTAAAACTCTTATTTATACTCTTCCTATGGAAATATTAAAAGAATTTGGATAAAAGGTTTTAATTCTATGGGAAATATTTTGTATATGTTTTAAAATGTATTTGAACAAGTTTCTTCTTCCACTGGAAATGAAATTTGTGTCTATAGGCTTTTTTGTTTATAATTTTTTCATTGTTGAACATTTTCTTTCAGCCTTTGTCCCCTAGCCCAACCTGCAATGCACCCTTTTTTCTAGATTGTTGGCATACATATGATGCCTAATAATATATTCCTTAAGACAGTTCTTCCTCTCATTGGTTCATTATCTATTCTTTTCCCAATCTCTTCTTAATTCTCCCTTATCTGTCCTATGGCAGTGTTATGCTGTATTTGTCCTTTTGTGCCTGAGATGTCCCCCATTGTATAATGTTTTATGAGTTCATTGCTTTTCAATGCTGCATAATATTCCATTGTGTGAATGTACCTTGGTTTTTATATCCATCCCTTTCTTGGTGGGTACGTGGGTTGCTTCCATTTCTTAGCTATTGTCAGTAACGCAGCAATAAACATGGGTATGCATACATCTGTTTGAGTCATGTCTCTGGTTTCTTTAGGATATATTCCCAGCAATGGAATTGCTGGGTTAAAGGTATTTTTAATTTCAACTTTTGGAGAAAGTGTCAGATCACTTTCCATAGTGTCCGTACCATTTTGCATTCCTATCAGCAATGAATGAGTTTCAATCTTTTCACAACCTTGCCAGCATTTGCTGCCCTATTGAACTTTGCTACTGTTGCTGGATGTCTGTAGGCTTTTACTGTATTTTAATTATCTCTACATAAATTCCAGCACAATGCACCCTGAACTGACACATAACTGACCCTTCAGTGGGTTTTCAGAGGCAGTTAATAACATGGGAGGAGAATGCCCATCCTTCTTCTGTGGAGCAGCTGGTGGCTTGCCTTTGGGATTGCAGTGCACCTTCTTACCACAAGGTCACTAGAGCTCCCTTACACTGTTGAATGAGTTAAATTCTAATAAAACACTGCTGTAGTCTTGCCACTTTCTTTGTCAAAGATCCTCTAAGAGATGCTACTTTAAGGATGATGTTTGCAATTGCTATAGAGCTGCTGTCCAAGCAGCTAATGCCTACTTTTACCTTCCTCTTTCCAATGTCTATGCTGTTGCCTCTTCCTCTCTGAAAGAACTCTACCCAACCTGTTTCATTTCTTGAAGATGGTATCACAAATTCACAGTTTGCATTATTAGAAAATAATTTGAATTAAATATAGATGAAATTTAGAAGCATGAACTAGTGTTCTTTTGTTTATATTTTTTTCAGGCAATTATACTCTCAGAGTTGATTGTACACCCCTTCTTTACCAGTTGGTGTATAAACTGGCCAAAGAGGTATGTAAGTTAAAATAACTTAATATGTTCTTGAAAATTTAATGCCTTTGAAAACCCTCAACAAAATGGATTGACATGGTGATTGTAGCAATGGACTCAGGTATATCAGGATGATGAAGAATGCACAGGATAGGGCAGGTTCCAGATATATTGCTCATAACTTACCTATGAGTCATAGCTGACTCTATAACAATATCAGTGGAGCCCTGGAGGTGTAGTGTGCTATGTGGAGCTGCTGAACGAAAGATTGATGGTTCAGATATCCCAGCTACGCTGAGAGAGAAGGATGGACAGTCTCCTTCTCTGAAGATTCTTTTTGATGAAAGGTTTTTATGAGTCGGAATAGACTCAATCCAGAAGGTTTATGGGACAAACAGTAACTACTAAATAAATTTTATGGAATGGATGAATGAATGGCCAAAGCAATCTTTGAATCCAAGATTTTTCAATTCTAGTTTAGTGTTCTTTTATCTATACCAGAATTCCTCTCCCAGATGAAAATTATATACTCTGCATTACCACTATGTATATGATTATTTTAAAAGTATTATTGGAACACAGAAATTGACAATATTTTCTTCATAGTTATATCATTAAAGATTTTTACTTGCAATTTATATAAATCTCACCAGTTAAAGATATATATCATAAATTAAGGGGTTATTGTTGAAGTTGACTATGACTCATAGCTACCCTGTGAAAAAAGTGTCTGAGCCCTGTCCCATCCTATGCCAACCTTACCCACTCTGATATACTTGAGTCGATTATTGCAATCATTGTGTTAATACATCTTGTTGAGGTTCTTCTCTCTTTTGCTGATCCTACACCTTTCTAAGCATGATTTCTTTTTCTAAGGAATGGTCCCTCCTAACAACATGTTCTCTTTTAAGGAGCACCTGGTTACCCTTGATTTGATTCAACAGTACCTAACAACAACAATAACAAATGTAATTCATATATTCAGACTCTGAGAGCTCCAAAGTGCTGTGAATCTTTAAAGAATGACATAATTCACTCATCTGTTTTGTTTGGGTTTTTTTATAATCAATTCCATACTACAGAATGTAATTTAAAGTAATAGGTGGAAATTTTTTTTTAGGTTTATCCTAAAGATAAGGATAATGGGGTAAAGTAAACTTTAGTTTCCTTTATTATCTTTATATCACCTCCAAATAAGAAGATTTATTAGGGAATTCATTCCAAGGGAGGATTTAGGAACTAGAGTGGGATTTCAGCCTTTACAAATGTTCAGGGGCAGAGTAGAGAATAAGACTAATCAAGAAAAATGAGGAAAGAATATGTTCATAAATGTACTTTAAATATGTTGTTGTTATGTGCTGTCAAGTTAGAACTGAATCATAGCTGACCTCCAGTGGCTTTTCAGAGACTGTAAATTACATAGGAGGAGATTGCTCATCTTTCTCCCACAGAGCAGCTGATAGATTTGAACCATGTGTCTTTGGTTTGACAGGGAAATTCCTTACCACTAAGCCACTAGAGCTCAAATTTTAATAAGAGTAATCAAAAAATATTTATGTCTATACAGAAGTTCTTAAAATTCTCACGTAGAAATCTGCAGTTACATAGAGTTTATAAATCCCTTATATGCCAAATATATACAGACAAGCTCAAACTCATTTTCTTATCCTTTGCTATCTACTTTTGCTTCTTTTTGAGTCTTCTTGGACAAAACCAATTTACTAAAGTAAATATTATATTCAAAGATTTATCCCGTTGGCTTCACACTAAAATAAATCTAAGCTGTCAAACACTAAACTGGTCTCATTGGTTTCAGATTTGAGACTTTATTAAACAGTTCACCAAATAAGCAAAAACTGCATCTTACACACTTGGCAAAAAACTTACAAGGAGGCATCACAAATTAGCAAGAATATCGGTTAACTTTTCTTGCTATTTGCAAATAGATATTTCTTCTAGAAATTAACATGGCATATATGGGTCTGAATAGAAGTTAATTATGGCTAATAATTTATTTTTATTCATATGAATTTAGTTGCTTCTGCTCCTAATTCACAGTACTTGATTTATCTTTTCAGATCTCCAGCCCTGATGATGGTTTTGAAACTCAATCTCTTTATGAAAGCTGGTTGGAAAAGGATCCTTCACCTCAAAATAAAAGTGTTCCTAGGTAAATTATTTAGGTTCTTTTTTTTTCCTCCACATTGGAGAAATTATGAATTTTTCTTTGTCCCTTGTTTTTCCTGACCTACATATCTCTGCTGTGTTAACATTTTGAGCAGAGAGATAATTATTCCAAGGAATCCCTGTGCTAGACTTTCTCTTACTGTTAATCAGTAAAGCCAAATCTTTTAGCCTATAATAAACTCATTGCTATTGAATTGATTTCAATTCATATCGACTGTCATCAGGTTTCCAAGGCTTTAAATCTTTTTAAACTAGGGAGGTTGCCTGTTCTCTCCCATGGAGTTTAGTGAATTCAACCCACTGGCTTTTTGGTCAGTAGCCCAATATATTATGCACTTTATTGCCAGTACTTTCTGACTACTATTCTTTCCTCATTGTTTCCAACTTCTGCATTCAAGTCACCAACAATTATTAATGCATCTTGATTTTATGTTTGGTCAATTTTGAACTGTAAACATTTGTAGAAACTATCAGTTTTCTCCTCTGTAGTTTAGTTATTGGTGGACATGTTTGAATAATAGTCATATTAACAGATCTTCCTTGTATGCATATGGATAGTAGCCTAACATTCACAACATTGTAATTTAGAATATTGTTATCATTGTGTGCCATCAATTTGGAACTGACTCATAGCTGACCTTTCAGGATGTTTTTAGAGTCAGTATATCTCATGGCAGGAGATTGTCCAGCCTTCTCCTGTGAAGCAGTTGGTGGATTTGAACCTCATGCCTTTGAAATTGCAGTTCTGTTTCTTACCATTAGGCCACAGAGCTCTCTAGGATAGAACTTGGAATTGTCTTTTAAATTATGAATACAACATCATTCTTCCTCAGTTTTCCAGCATAGTGGATCATAATTGATTAAGTGTGGTCCATGCCAGTCCATCTCAGTTCACTAATGCTAGAATGTTGTCTTCAGGCATTCCACTTCATATTTAACAACTTCCAATGTCCCTTTATTCATACTCCATTCATTTCACATTCTAATTATTAATAGTTATATGCAGATCATTTTTGTGTGACTTACCATTTGGGCTCTGTCACTAATTCTGTAGCTACCTCTATTCCTCTGTTGTTCTTAGGGTTTTCAAAGGTCTATTATTTAGGAAGAAGACAGCCAATCCTGCTTCATACTCTGTCTTAAACTAGGAACTCTGCTGTAACCTGGCCACCATTGGTAACCTTCCTGGCCTTTGAAACACTGGAGGAATAGCTTCCAGCATCACAGCAACTTACAAGTTATACCAGTACAGAAGACTGACAGACAAGTGTTGTACTAGTAAAAGAAAATAATAAGCATGCATATACATATCTAAGACAGAAAGTAATTACTGTTGTTTTGTGTGTGATCAGGTTGGAACCAAACCAAAGCTGACCCTCCAGCAGATTTTTAGAGACAGGAAATTGCACGGAAGGAGATTGTCTGTCCTTTTTATGTAGAGTAACTGGTGGATTTGAACCTTGTGCCTTTGGGATTGCAATGCAGCTTCCTACCACTAGGCCAACAGAGCTTCCTATAATTAGCAACATGCAAATCATACCTTAATATAACAAGTTGACAAGTATTTATTTTACATCTAATAGGAAACCATAAAGACAATCAGGGACTCAACTATGATGATGCAGGACACCCTTTTCAGGCACCAGCTGAGGCTCATGGCCATATACAATATGGGTTCTGGATGGAGATTTTTGGCATAGATAGTGGCTCAGATGGATCTTTAGTGCTGGTGTTCAGGGCCCAAAAGCACAGACTGGGGACTTGACTGTTTTCCTATTTGATCATAGGAATCCCAGAACACTTAATTGTGCTCATGCACCATCTGTACATAGACCAAGAAGCTGTTATCCAAACAGGGCAAGGGAACACTGTGTGGGTTTTAAAATTAGGAAGGATATACATCAGGATTGTATCCTTTTTCCATACCTATTCAATCTGTAAGTTGATAAAATAATTCATGAAGCTGGACTTTATGAAAAGGAATGTGACATAAGAATCAGAGGAAGATTCATTAATAATTTGTATTATCCAGATGACAAAACTTTGCTTACTAAAACTGAAGAGGACTTAAGATTCTTGTTGCATATAAAAAGAGCAAGGGCAGATTCAGGAGGCCATATCTGATCTTTATCAACTTCACAAAGGGGAACTGTCCCTGTCAACAATATCAACAACACAAAACCAATTCCCATAAGGCCAGACATATCCCCCACATTCCCACATCTTTTTTTTTAACTCACCCCTACACCAATCTTAAGCTTTACTGGGTCCAAAATCCAATGTGGTAGCTCACATGCTACACAGAACCATATTGGGGAAATCAAAAGGTTTTCATCCAGGTTAATAGCAGGATACAATCAGGTTAACTTCCAAAATGTGCTTTCAGGCTTTAGGCCAATTCTACAAAGTTTTCAGTACTGCCAATTATGGATCTTCCCTCCACTCCTTTCCTCCACACCACCCTACTCCTCCAATAAACTTCGAGTAAAAGCTCTCAGCCCTGATTCTGTGGTGGGTGGCAGAGTCAGGGTCAGCTCCATCTCATATTGGGTCTGTGGTCCTCTGTTTCAGGCAGTGTTGCTGCTGCTGTAAGTCTAGCTGGCACTGTTACTATAAGTTTATCTAGGGGAAGAATCTCTAGTTCTAAAGGGCACACATTGCATGCCTCCTCTTTTGCTGGTGCAACTTTCTATTCCACTGCTAGATTTGCTCAATTTTATGGTGAAACTGGCTAATCCCCTTGTGGACTGGGGAGACAGAGACTAGCCAGGCCCTTTTGGACAGACTAACATGCCCTGTTTGCATATACACACCCTTTTTATATATTTCCATCCATCCACATGGCAAAGTCAATCAGTGGCTAGAGAATTTTGAATAATACTTTGAACAATAACCCTTAATGCCACAGACCACTCTCTGGTGTTCTAGCTTTTATGCTTCATATTAGAAGAATCAATGCCTTCGAGTTGTGGTGCTGGAGTAAAGTCTTGCACATACCATGGACCAAAACAAATAGATTTGTCTTGGAGAGGGTGGAACCAAGTTTTTCCTTGGAGGCTAGGAATTTGAAGCTCCATCTCACATATTTTGGGTCCATTGTCAGGAGAGATTGGTCCTTGGAGAAGGACATCATGCTTGGAAGGGTGGAGGGACAGCACACGAAAGGAAGACCCTGGAGGAGATGGATTGACCTAGTAACTGGGGTAATGTGGGTAAGTGTGTCAGAATCAGTGAGACTGGTTCTGGACAGGACAGGCTTCAGAGCTGATGTACATAGGTTCACTATGAGTCACAGGTGACTCGACAGCACATATAAGAACAATAACATCCTTCATATTTGAAGAATTAAACATCCTCTTGTTGTTGTTGTTAAGTGCCATCGAGTCGCTTGCTAGCGACCCTTTGTACAACAGCCCTAAACTCTGCTCT